TTTATGGAAAAAAAAAAAATATATATATATATATATATATATATATATAAATTTTACTGCAAGCACATTCATTTATTATTCATAAACTCAGGGAATACAAAGAAATGATTCATCTGTTGACTGATCAGTTACATAGCAACAGACAATACACAGAACCTCATATACACATAACTTCTATCATATTACATGGCAAAATATGTCACACTCTGGTGATAAAATATCTATTTTTATATATTCAGATCTGATATGTTTAGTACATGATATAGATAATTATTTGTTGTAAATTTGATCAAGTTTCCCAATATCCTTTCAAAATGTTATTTGCTGTCAGTCAACAGCAACAGGATTAGAATCAGTATCAAAGAATAGCCTTTCTTCCAATTCATGAGTTGGAATTTGAATTGGAGTGACAGAACAGAAGAGGAATTTACTGGATTGTTCGGATTTAATTAAATTCAACACAGGTTTTATGGAACCCATTTTAGGAAACAAAGTTTTATCTAAATAGCGTTCGGTCATTCTGATAATGTTCAAGGCTTCTAAATGCGGCTAGAGTGTTTAAATATAGTTTAACTGGATCATGACCCACTGACCTTCTGACTCAATAATGTATAAATTGGTCAAAAACAATCAAAAACCATGGCAAGTAAAAATGCTGCATGAAAATTATGCAGGCCTCAGTTCATTTACAACTAACCTGTAGATCTTGTATCTTGTGGAAAATCCCTGACGGTTCCTCTCCACAAATTCAGTGTACTCTTGTGTGTGGTGAAATGGGCCCTTGTCAGAAAGAAGCCAGTCCAGGGGGCCTGCAGGGCCTTCTTCAGCTAAACTGGCAGAGCTTGTCAGCCAGCAGCGGAGGCTGAAAGTCAGCAACAGCAGCTCCCATAGAGCCATGGGGGAGTGGCACAAGGCTTCAGAAGCACAGGCTCTGGTGCAAGACCACACTCCAACACCTGACACTGAAGATCAGCATGGCTTCAGCCCCACAAACGCTTGCCTAAACACACACACAGATTCACACAGAAAGAACAAAGATGCATTAGTAAACACTCAGTCACCTTCACCTCCACTCAGACAAACTCACCAAAACAACTGTTCCTTTAAGTGAAAAGTGCACACATACAGACAAAAAGACAGGCAATTAACAGGAAATTCTGTTTCATTGAGGCAAAAACTATTTAGGACTCCGGAGAGATATTGTCAACATAGAAAGGGGAGAAAAGTACGATTATTCTTTGTGGGAATAATCTACTAATTTTCTGTAAGTGAGAAGTGTAATGTATTCACAAAAAAAATGTTCTCTGCATGATAATGAGTGTTTTAGTACTTCCGAGGAACAAAGTATCACCAAATTAACAATAAAAGAATGTAAGTGAAATGATAATAACCTTCTGTGCACATGCTTCCAATTTTAGCATCCTCTGTGCAACTGCACTAGTACATGAAATGGAGAAGTTCTCTCTAAAACTGCTTATATTAATCCACATTACTTCAAACTCTTAACAAGCTTTTTGCTTCAAGTGCAAACTCTATAAAAAGGCAAAAGCACCAGATACGTTTAAATCCAAGTGCTGTAATTCAGTCCCATGGTAAACAGATATAATGAGCACATTTTTGACATCTCTTTCAGTTAGTTCTCAGTGTCTCCCGCAGTCCCGCCCCTTGTTCTAACCCTGTTATTATTTCCATATTTCCACCAAGTGCTGTCAATCATTCTTCACGGCCGTGACCAAACCAGATGTTGGAAAAGACTCTCATTACTGTATTCTGATGACAGTCTGTCAAGTCATGTGTGCCATGTGACCATATGTGTGGGCGACTTTCAAAAAGCATCATACTTTTGTAGAACGTACAGATTAAAATACAGACCTTGAGATAACATGCAATATAAATGCACCACATTGGCTTGTAAATCACTGCTTAGTACAAACACTAATTACGAAGATGTGCATATCAAAACAGAAGCTCTACTATGCCTACACATTTATTGCATTGCAGAAACCGATGGGATAAAAATTCCATAGCTGTTCGTCAGCATATCAGTTCATTAAATATCTTTAAGCTTAATATTTCAAATCGCTAACATAAGTTGTCCACCTTTGGCATTTATTCTTATGGGAGGATTTTCTTGGATGATGTATCTGCACCCTCATCTCGCACAGAACTATATAATGTATGTAGCACACTGATAAGCACATCCGTAACGGTGTGAATACAGCCCTGATCTGGGCTACAATGCTTTCTGCTGTGATTACAGCAGATTTAAAAGCAATACTTTTGCTGCATGACATCTAATTATTCAATGCAGACATCCGTACTTCTCCATGCATATTGATGAGGAAGTCTCGGTGGAACACAGTAACCACTCAGTAGGGATCCTACAATGTGCTACACTTCAGCGAAACAAAGAAACAAAAAAAGGCCCTTTCAAATGCCGCAATCTCCACATTTCCATCAGCAATTCTTTTGACTTGCTACTTTTCTGCCTTGAGTAACAAGCGCTTTGCTTTTGTGTAAAATCACTGTTTACATTTCTCCCGAGAGCAAAGCATCGTTATATGTGTTCCAGTTCTTTTTTCCCCCTCTTTTTTGGGGGGATGGTAGCTCTGTTTGGCAGGTGGCAATGTGGACGGGGAAAAAAAGATGATTAAAAGACGTGTAATGTAAGTCACAAGGGCAGAGAGCAGCTTTGAGATAGATGGTGCTTCTGGCTTGTGTTCTCTTCTGAACATACTATTGAGTTATTTCAGCTTAGCTCTTTATAAAAAACGCAAAATACTCTAATTTTAGACAGCAATTTGTAGTTAAATGCTTTATTCAGGAGCAGAATGCCAATGAGAGCAGGGTTGTGATCTTTGTAACTCTCCAGTCCTTTGAGATAAAACCTGCAACCTCAAAACTGTCAACAGTCAACAGCTCAAAACTGTACCTGGATCCTATCTTTATACGCCAAACATGTAAACATGTATTCATTGAAAGCACAGTTCATTTCAAAGCAATCTGCTGCTATAATCACATTATCTCCCCCACCCAGTGCAGTAACAGGATTCTGGTTATTATTTGCAGGAATAATATCAGTATGTGTCATTCCCTGTTTACAGGGGCATCATCAGACAATATCTGTGGTTACAAAAACAATACACTTCATCAAATGCTGTTGAACCGATCCACCCTGAAAGAGGAGCTGAGGTGTACTTTTAGATCACAAATAAAACATCTAGCCTGAGAGAGAAATTATTTTTTTAATCATCAACTGTGGACGCATGAAAAGCACCAATGGTGCCACTTAAATATAATTGAACACCAAACAGGCTTGAGATATCCTCAGACTGGTCTGAAATCTCATAAAAGTGACAATTCTGTTGGTTCCTACACAACTTTATGATGATTAAACCATGACTTTTCTGTAAAGAGGCTCTGAAACGATATGTACTGGGAAAAGCGCTTTCACAAATTTAACTGACTTGACTTGACTTGACAAGTGTGACGTGTGGAGGACTAAAAAAAATTTGATGTATAAAATGTGTGGGATGAACAGAGAAATAAATGATGGAGGAGAAAGTGTAAACACATAAATGAGGATAATTAAGAAATGAAATAAGTATCCGCATGAGCCAAATTAAGCAAAGGTCTGGTGGGAGAGAAGATCAAAACATTAGCTAGTTTTCTTGGAAATGGAGAAAATAATTATTCAGAGTTATGTTGGATTAAAAATTGTGTTATACCACCGTAGAACTCATAAAGAGGTGTTTTAAGCTCTTTATGGGGAGAAAATTATGTATACAGTTTTGCAAGATCATCTTAGCCTTGCTACATGACATGCAATTTTTCATTTAAACTAGATGTTGCAAGAGTATTTGTATCATAACCTGCAGGGTCTGCAATAGCAATATAAAAAATTTTGTATTGTAATTTGTCATGTAAATGGTGACTATGACAAGGTCCTGTGTATTTACCTAGAGGGACGAATCATTTTAAAACTACAGCCATGCCTGGTAATAAGAGAGAAACAGACTAGACAAATAGCTGTCTGAATGACAAAAAGCCAATCTGTTTTAAACGGTATACAATTTTGCTTAAGCACATTGAGGTATAGTCATTAAGCGGCATTGTGACTCTGTCATTTTAGTTTATGCTTATAATGTGATTGTGGACAGATTCTAAATAAATAACGGACTCAAACCAAACAGATAATACAAATAATATCCATTTAGCAAGAAATGAATAGAGAAATTCTTGTTTTAGGTATTGAAAAGGCTATTTCCTTCCCTTTGTTGTATACAGTGAAGATGAACTCTGCAAGGTCGCTGAAATGTGAATCTTTAGAATGAAATGACTACAGGTGTTCAGAACTAACTGAACAAACATCTTTCACAATCTGTTGGGAAATTGCATCTATCAATGAGGTACTTTATGAAATTCTACAGGTGCGTTCAACTGACCTATAATACCATGTTTCCTTGTGCTTTGCTATAGAGCTGACAATTAATTCAAATGAACTGAATTTGCCTGTTGAATTGTGAATTCAACTCTGAACTCAGCTTGAACCTCACTTACTCTAAATAGTCAACAAATAATTAGTTATGCATCACAAAGGACATTGTGAACTTTTTCATCTGTTTAAAGTTTTGTTTCTCCAGACCTAGTTTTACACAGTTCAACAAAAGAGTAACCCAGCTAGTTAGCTTGTTAAAAACAAATTAATAAAGGAATATATGAGTGGTAACATTGTTAATCCATGTTAGCTCAGGTCCATTAACATTAATAGATACAACTTTTGGTTTTATTCATGTATTAGTAAATGTTGGAATCAACATTAACTCAGATTAATAAATGATTTTAAAGTATTTTTCATTGTTAGTTAATGTTAACTAATGTTAACAAATAGAACCTTATTGTAAACTGTTACTGTCACGTATCGGCTACTGTGGAGGAACGAGGAGACGAGGAGACACAGGAGTAAACTCAAAACACAGTCTTTAATCTTCTACTTCAGGGAAATACAGGGCAGGCAGACACACGCGTAGCACAAGGATGAACAAAACCAGACAAAGAACTTAGTACAAAACACTCCTTAAGAATACAACACAATCAGGGGAAGATGAGACACACCTGGAATCAAATTGGAAACAACCAGGGAGCAGGAACAGGAAAACCAAATAAGGGCATGGAAACACAAGAGGGAACAAAACGGGAACACAAGTCTGACAGTTACCATATAAGTTCAGCTCAATTAGCAGTTTTTTTGTGGCAAATTGTAAAATTAATTTCCAACTGTCATTCCTTAAAAAAACTGCATTTACATACTTTCAATGCATTTACATACAATGGAAGTGAATACCTCACTGCAAGTAACCTTGAATTTTTTATTTTATTTTACTTTGCAAATCAACATTATGCCACAAATGCTGTTGACCAACTTAACTTCTTAAGCCAGTATTGAACCCTGAATATTCCTTTAAAAAATATTCCATTAATGCTCCACTGTAATCTACAACTCCATACAACTCTGGGCACGTAACCTTAAATTACAATCAAGTACAAGAACTAAAAGTAAAACCAAGCTCAAAGTGAAGTATTATCAAAGTACTTTGGAAAAGGTTGAGATGATGAGATCTGGGATCTCTCGAGTTCTCAATGGCATTTGAGTCAACCATGTTCAGAGGATAGACTCAAGTGTGCACTTTGGACTCAGGGCATCTGTTCAGTTCTTTCATTTACAACCTGTGCAATTGCAATGAGTTTTGGCTGTCTCTGCTGGAAGCATGTAAATGAAGATACATCCTCTGAGATATGTCCTGCTCTAAATTTGTGTCCGCAGGGTGGATGGAGGGTTGTCTGACTGTTTGAAAAAAAATGTGTATCTTAGGTGAAAGTTGATTACAGGGTTGTATTACAATTTCTACAGTAGGATCCCACTATTTGTCATTCTGGTTCTTTCAGGCTTGACTTCAAGTCATCCCTGAAACCACCTTCAAAGTCTGAAACAGGAACCGATAAACTTCAAATCCTCCTCTCTCCGCTGACTAATGAGCTTTTACTCTTATTTAGCTATGTTATTCTCTAACCCATGACAATCAACAGTGTCTTTCATTGTGTGCCTGAGGGTAGAAAGGTTGCTTAGCGAAATAATGTGTCTGGAAGTCATAATTATTAATCCGTGTTTCATTTGAGAACAAAAGGATGTGTACAAAGAGATTTGCAGTGTAATGTATCAAAGAGAATTTCCCAGCAGACACGGCAATAAAAGAAATATGAAATACTAGCTTATATCAGTGCATGGGACCAAAAGGAGGAAAAGGAATGACAGCCATTGTGTTGAGTGTTAAATGCAAATCAAATATTCCCTCTAATGTTGCTGTCACTTTGAGAAATGGACCTCTAGGAGCAGACAAGCCATGAAACTAAAATATTTGTCAGATTTGTCTAGATGAAACACTGAGCATCAGACAAAATAATATCAATTTGCAGTGAATGTGCAGGTAGATTTTAGCATACTGCTGATACAACTGATGACCTTGTGTGTCCATATGCAAAGAAAAAAAACACACCCATAATACACTACAGCAAATGTATATTTCATATGCTATCTTGTTGCATCATCCAGATCAATAAATGACAATCTTAAAAATGTGCATGCCTTTGCACATTAGTCAGAGCATTGCTTAAAAGGAGAATGGAGTACCCAAAGTATTGTGGAAAAAGCAAACAAAGAGATAAAGAACACAAAGAATGAAAAGGAAAGAATAAATGTAGTGTTGTTTGTTCACCAACACTCTGGTAGCCACATTTAATATCACATGTCTCTGAGAGCATAATGTCTCTATGGACATGGCACACATTTTAATATGAGGGTTTGAAAACACTCAGTTCATGTCTCTAGGGTGCAATAATTGCTCTTTTTATATAAAAAGACTAATTGTAATACAAATCTATATTACTAAAGCCTTTGATCTTTGAGGAAGCATGAACAACAAGGTAGCCATTCTTTTGATCATGAATATAATCATTTGTTTGGATTATCCATGAAATAAAAGGCTATAACTTATGGTTTGGATGAGTCATCTAGTTTAAATTGCTATGGTCAGAACATGTATGCAAAGAGTAAAAGGTTTATAGTAAATTAAACAGAGGGCTGTGTTCCATTAAAATGTCTGTTGGTTATGGATAGAACCCAACAAAGAATTGATTACAAGTTAGAAATAAAAGTCACAGTAATAGTGCACAGAGCCAATGATAATGTACAAGATGCTGATTTAATTGCTGCTTTAATTATTGCCTTTTTGATCGTAAAGTTTTCACTTTTAGATTTTTATTTGGCCACATATCAGTGAAATGCTCAGAGCAATACAGGGGAAAAAAGCAGCAATTAATCTCAGAAAACAATGGTCTTCTTTTCTAAATCCAGCCAGACATATAGTCTGCTCTTCAAACACAGGCCATTACGGGTTGGCCTTCACATTATATAAATATATCTAACAAATTCCTTCCAAAATAATTTCTTACTTTTAAACTTGAAGCCATAAATTAACTAAAATATTTATGGGAATCTACAGAATTTCAATTATCTCAATGTTGCTTCATAGATAAAATTGTGTTATCATCTTATGAGTTATAATAAATCAATGTCCTAACCGTAAAACTACAAGATTGTCTGTCCACATTGAAAATGCATTGTGATGCATCACAATAATTATTTGCTTTTGCAGGATTTCGGGGCAATGATATGTCATTATGGATGACACAGAAATAGAAACCGATCAACAAAATCTCCTGTCGCTGGTTAGAACAAAAAAGAGTCTGCTTGCTGCTTTATTGTGTCACTTTTGGTTAGGACACAATGTGACATTGAGGTTTAAAATACATAGTTTTGTAAAAATCAAACAAATTCTATGTGTCAAGGAATTCAAAATGACACCCGAAACCTTTTAGAAGCATTGCTTTCATTCATATCTCTTATTGCTTGTCATTTCGTACAGGCATCAAGGTTTTTGCTTGCCTAGTTGAAAGGTGTCATGTCACATCTTTACCTTCTTTTGAACTGTGTACTCCCAAGGGTCTCTTTGTTTGCAAGCTCTAATCAAGAAGCCAATGTTCCTGCGCCTGTCTTTTCACACGTTTGTCTTGCTGAAATCTCAGCATCAGTATGGATTCGGTGATCCAGCTCATTATCATAAAATAATGGGCTACGGCTCACCATCATAAAGCTTCCCTCCTACTCGGGCCTGTCTGCTTGCTGCATGTTCAACCAATCAGTCGTCTCTGTGAAATTTCTGATGTGCTAGAATTGCTGCAGAAGGGCCTTCACGCATGAGTCATTCATTAATCTGAGGTCTTGTTAGGGAGCCTCTTTACCTGCAGAGAGCCATTTGAAGAAAAAATGCCCCATTGAGGCAAATTCACAAGACTAGGAAAGGTATTTCGCTGACTCTCTCTGGCTCTTATCCATGGCTATATCGCACATCAGCATAGGACGAATGAGCCATTGAGCTAGAACACTTCTGGATGCTGATATTTGAACGTATTTGTGTAATTGTCTGTGTGCCTGTGCTAAAAGGTATTTTTGTCTTTTATGTGGCCGCCAAAAGCTCTAAATGGTGTTTTTGGAAAATGGCAAACACTGTGCCAGCAGATCGCAATGATGAGAGACAGCTGGGATACAAAGGCGCACACACACACTTAGTTAGACCCTTCACACAGGGAAATGTGAATGTGGCATTCAGATTGTCAGCATTGTGGTGCCAGTTACTCTTTTGAAAAGACATCCACTGTGCAGGGGTAACAGCACTTACACAGAGAGAATAAACTCTGCAGTAACTAACACATAATGTTTGTGTGCCCCTGTCAACCACAATACGAAATGTAGTTTGGTTACCAGGTTAGTACTTTCTGACCCAAATAAACAAAAAAGACTGAAAAGAATGCAATTCCCTTTGGTGCCACTAGTGACACTGCAATTAGACAGTTAAAGTTAAGTTAAAAATAATCAATTGAATAATCTTATATTTATCTGCTTAGTAATCGTATGCATAAATATCTTAAAGTTCACCCAAAAATGTAAATGTTGTCATCATTTACATTAACGTAATTCCAAACCTGTATGACTTCTTTTGTGGATCATAAGAAGATATTTTTGAGAAATATCTCAGTGATTTTTTTTGCCCTTACAATGGCAGTGAATGGTCACCAGAACAGTGGTTTGGTTATAAAAAATTTTTTTTATCATAAATCATAAATCATCTTTAGTGTTCCGCAGAAGGAAATCATTAGAACAAATGAGAGCGAGTAAAGGATGGAAAGAAAAAAACATTTTTGGGTGACCTATCCATAGAGCAGAGCACTAAACATTTATTATGCATGCTGTATTAGAAAGATGATTCACAGCATGATTGTTGTGGGTAATGAAGAGTCATGTAACACTATCCTGCAAAAATCATTGACTTTTTCTGTGCTTTCTCCACTGGCCAGCGATACATACAATATTTCTTCATCAGAGCCTGCACTACCTCACTGGTGTCATGTAAGGAGCTGAATCGTTTATTTTTCCTCAAATTATGGTACTGGATTTTGCTATAATTAAATGTCATTTAGATTTAAAGCAATTCCAAGTAAGCTATAAGCTATTTTACGAACAGATGGTACAGTTTATATTGTGACACCAATTATAGCTAAATATATTAGCAGCTGATTCAATGGGCAGCAAACTTGTATGCCTGATTTTATAGATTTTCTGCAAGCATACAGCTGTGTAACATATAGTAAGCTTGGTTTTCACACCAGTTTTTAACTGTTTGAGAGAAAAAAAGGGAAAAAATTGGTATTTTATGCATCACTGGCAGTTAGAAAATAAGTGATGCAAATCCTTAATGTGAATAAATTGTGAAGTTAATATAACCCTCATAACCTGTAACCTCATCATCATATTTTTGTATTCTTTCCCAGTAAAATATCTGAACACCTTTAAAACAAGATCAATTTACTTGAGAAGCAAAGCTGCCTAAAATATTAAGACTTGTTTTCAGAGAATCTATCTTGAATTAGATGTTTTTCTTGCTTAATGCATAAATGTGACAAAAATAGAAAGCTTTATGATTAAAACATGAAATTCAAAATTTAAGATATATTCTCTAAAAAAGTCTGCTTCTGAAATATATTTATTTTGCTTTGGGAATTTTGTAGGATGCTTTGAAAAACACTGAATAAGAAAATAATTTTAGCAGTTTTACAGAAATAACTCGGTGTGTGTGTGTGTGCGCGCCCGCGCCAGAGAGAGAGAGCCTCTGTATCAAACACCACATGGCATAAATACATGAATGGTCTTGAGGGATCACAGTTGTAACTCTTGAAAGGAGCTGTGTAGTCTTGATGGGCTGCTGTATGCTCATCATTCATGAGAACGATGTGACGACCAGGTTGCATTTGTTCAAAGTTGTCCCGCTGCAGCAAGGGGTAACGATTATATTTGCAAAGCACAGTCAACTGACAAAAACTTAAACCATGTCAAAACGAACACGATTTAAAAATACAACTAACCTCAACGTAGCTCGATGTTGAAACTTCATCCGATAAGGTCCCATTCTTCACTGAATCGGTATTTTTCTTCCTTACACGATTATTTAACGGACATCAGCGTAAAACCCACAGAAGTAATAAAAACTGTTTGGCGTAAAGACAAAATGGACGAAAGGTCGCACGGGCAGCACCTAAATATTTACATTGGTGCTACTTCACTAGTCCAACTTCGGAAACACGCCGCTCCCATTATAATGCGCGAAGGTAAGGTTATCCGTGTGCTCTGGATTTTTCCTTGAAGAAGAAATAACCGCATTTAGTCAAACAATGTCGAACAGACAAATCCTCTAGCAGTACAGACAGTTAGAAACAGACCGTGCTATCAGTTAAAGCGCGTGGTTCAGTTTAACATCCGCCAACGGACTGCGACACTGAGGCTTTTCAGTCTCTTTTGGTAGTGCCTGTGGATATTCCTCTATAAAGTCAGCGCCATCACATAGCTCTGCTTGACCCTCCTACTCTGCATCTTGTCCGTGTGTATGTGTGTGTGAGAGTGACTTTCAATGGATAGACGCTGGCAGACGCGGGCGTGCGCCCTCTCTCACCCAAGTCACATGTTTAAAACACAAGTAGCCCTCTGTAATGGCATTTCGGAGGATATGCATAAAACCCGAAACGAGTGTGGAATGATAAGCAGGCTCTGTTACCAAATGTAGAGATCTCTATAAGTGCTTAAAGAAAATGCTTTCCTCTTTTTTTTCTGAATAAGTTTAGAATAATGTAAGCTACTTCTATTACAAAGACTGGTCAGCAGGTCAGAACCCAAATGTTATCGATTTTTTTTCAAGCAGCGTTGGTCTGTTACTATACCACTTCACCTTTTCTGAATTAATAATAGTATGGCGTTATTATTATAAGAATTGTTACAACAGTATCAATTATAATGCACTGTAAAATGTTGTAAAGATAAAAAGTGCCACCTGTGGTTGCATTTGCCAAAAAAATACAGTGGCAATGTTACAAGTATGAGATTACATTTTGGTGACGGTATATTTTAAAGCTATTAATCATTAAATCATATAATGTTAATACAATAGCCTACTTGAGCTATTAAATGTGTTTATTATTAGTAGTAGTATTGTGAAATGTACTTTTATAACACAACTGGTCTAAAAGAAAACCACATAATACCTTTAAAGTTAACCAAAATTGGCATCTCCTAAATAAAACAACTAAACTAATAATATACAATAACATATTAAAATAAAATAGCATGCAGCATAAAACAATCTAATGTATATAGTATCTGTGTAGTATATAGTTAGTATACCTGTGAGGCCTTGAATGAGTAATTTTAAATTAATCTATATTTTTTAGACAATATTTCTCTATAAACTATCACTATAGTATATTTATTGCATTGATTAATATAAAATAAATTTTTATCTATAATTTGTAAGGCATGTCATACCTTCTAAAAAAAACTCTAAAAATGTTTTACATTAAAATGAAATATATTGTCTTTTAAAATATAATACCATTATTTACCATATGGTAAGGTAACAGTCAGCCAATTAACAGGATATTGTTGTAGCATTTACATTGCATTATTTTTACAGTGTGACATTTAAATTTATCACCTGATTCATTTGAGTTTATTCTGAAATGTGAGCAGTGCTGTGTGGGTGCTGAAGTCTCTATCCCTGGCCTAAGCCTTTGTACATCTGTGCAGTAGGAGTGATTCAGACAGCAGTGGCAGCTAATACAAATAATACCTCTGATTTCGGTCCATTGCATCAATGTCCAAATTTTACTATCAGTATAAATCAGAAAAAGACAAGAGACATTTAAGCAGCAGGAGTTCACTACAGTCATGCATTGATGTGTAGCTGATAGGATTTCAGGCCAGGAATAACTTAATTTTTATTGGTGTTAAAGTATTGGTTAAACCAATTCTGACTACAGTCAAAATAGCTCTCTGACCATGGAAAAGTTCAGCACAAATCCATTACAGTGGCTGGCAAAGTGTGATTGTTTGTCATCTGCTGGAACACGCATCAGTCGTGTGTGTGTGTTATCGGGGAACTGATTGTGATGGATTAGATACATGGGCAACGTCCAGAGTGGACATTCTCTGAATGCAACGCTGCACTGGAACTGTCCATGGTGCTGAACTGCTACAGAGCCATTGGACTGTACACTGTAGCTTTTGACATATTCATTGTATTGTGTATAGTTGTATTAGCCTAGGTGTATAGATAATTAGCCTGAGGCCTTGAATGAGTAATTTTAAATTAATCTATATTTTTTAGACAATATTTCTCTATAAACTATCACTATAGTATATTTATTGCATTGATTAATATAAAATAAATTTTTATCTATAATTTGTAAGGCATGTCATACCTTCTAAAAAAGCCCTCTAAAAATGTTTTACATTAAAATTAAATATATTGTCTTTTAAAATATAATACCATTATTTACCATATGGTAAGGTAACAGTCAGCCAATTAACAGGATATTGTTGTAGCATTTACATTGCATTATTTTTACAGTGTGACATTTAAATTTATCACCTGATTCATTTGAGTTTATTCCGAAATGTGAGCAGTGCTGTGTGGGTGCTGAAGTCTCTATCCCTGGCCTAAGCCTCTGTACATCTGTGCAGTAGGAGTGATTCAGACAGCAGTGGCAGCTAATACAAATAATACCTCTGATTTCGGTCCATTGCATCAATGTCCAAATTTTACTATCAGTATAAATCAGAAAAAGACAAGAGACATTTAAGCAGCAGGAGTTCACTACAGTCATGCTTTGATGTGTAGCTGATAGGATTTCAGGCCAGAAATAACTTATTTTTTATTGGTGTTAAAGTATTGGTTAAACCAATTCTGACTATAGTCAAAATAGCTCTCTGACCATGGAAAAGTTCAGCACAAATCCATTACAGTGGCTGGCAAAGTGTGATTGTTTGTCTTCTGGCAATCTGCTGGAACACGCATCAGTCGTGTGTGTGTGTTATCGGGGAACTGATTGTGATGGATTAGATACATGGGCAACGTCCAGAGTGGACATTCTCTGAATGCAACGCTGCACTGGAACTGTCCGTGGTGCTGAACTGCTACAGAGCCATTGGACTGTACACTGTAGCTTTTGACATATTCATTGTATTGTGTATAGTTGTATTAGCCTAGGTGTATAGATAATTAGCCTAGATAATTAATCAAAACTAATATTGCTACTGCCCCAATCATTGATTCTGCATGTACAGTACATAAAGACATGTGTGGACTTCAAGGATTAGAGTCATAGCTCTTGGGAAGGCATGTGTAGCAAATCAGCTCAAAGGGGAAATATGAATAATTAATCATAACTAGTTATAATTAATTATAAATATTTAGATCCACTGTAAGCATTCATTTGACCTCTTGGTGTCAACTGTCTGTTAATTCTAAGAACGTTAATTCCCTGGTTAAGGAAAATAACTTTCTTACTGTACAATACTGCTCAGAGCATGTAGCATAAATCTGCATGATTAGGGACTCCAGTTATGAGCAAACAATGAACGACGTCAAGTGTGATACAAGTAAGACTTTATTAACTACATAAACACTTAAACTAGTCTAACACACACACACACACACACACACACACACCCACACATACAGTTGGTATAGGAAAAGGGTTAAAGCTTTTCCTTCTAAAAAGGAAGAAAAGGGTTTTTCTTCTAAAAAGAAGAAAAATAAAAACATGAAGCTATGGTACCATTTGATATTCAGCAGATCTACCGCCTGAAGGAAAAGTCAAAATAGCTCTCTGACCATGGAAAAGTTCAGCACAAATCCATTACAGTGGCTGGCAAAGTGTGATTGTTTGTCATCTGCTGGAACACGCATCAGTCGTGTGTGTGTGTTATCGGGGAACTGATTGTGATGGATTAGATACATGGGCAACGTCCAGAGTGGACATTCTCTGAATGCAACGCTGCACTGGAACTGTCCGTGGTGCTGAACTGCTACAGAGCCATTGGACTGTACACTGTAGCTTTTGACATATTCATTGTATTGTGTATAGTTGTATTAGCCTAGGTGTATAGATAATTAGCCTAGATAATTAATCAAAACTAATATTGCTACTGCCCCAATCATTGATTCTGCATGTACAGTACATAAAGACATGTGTGGACTTCAAGGATTAGAGTCATAGCTCTTGGGAAGGCATGTGTAGCAAATCAGCTCAAAGGGGAAATATGAATAATTAATCATAACTAGTTATAATTAATTATAAATATTTAGATCCACTGTAAGCATTCATTTGACCTCTTGGTGTCAACTGTCTGTTAATTCTAAGAACGTTAATTCCCTGGTTAAGGAAAATAACTTTCTGACTGTACAATACTGCTCAGAGCATGTAGCATAAATCTGCATGATTAACGTTAATTTCCTGGTTAAGGAAAATAACTTTCTTACTGTACAATACTACTCCGAACATGTAGCAAAAATCTGCATGATTAGGGACTCCAGTTATGAGCAAACAATGAACGACGTCAAGTGTGATACAAGTAAGACTTTATTAACTACATAAACACTTAAACTAGTCTAACACACACACACACACACACACACACACACCCACACATACAGTTGGTATAGGAAAAGGGTTAAAGCTTTTCCTTCTAAAAAGGAAGAAAAGGGTTTTTCTTCTAAAAAGAAGAAAAATAAAAACATGAAGCTATGGTACCATTTGATATTCAGCAGATCTACCGCCTGAAGGAAACATCAGTTTCTTAGTTCAAACACACTAGTAAAGATTCTTAGAACATTAATATGTTGCATAGGTATCAGCATGTAATATGCACTCTCAATTAGATCATCCGAAGATTAATTCATAGAGACCAAACATGATATAGGTAAGGTTATATTAACTAGTGATCCATCATAACATGCATGAAACAGCATACAAAACAACAGACAATATACAAGAACAGTAATGGTGTACACAATGACCTGAAGGATATGCGTGTTCATTCAAAGAAAGGTTTTCCTATGAATTAATTAGAGAAACAGTCCATTTCTCTGGGCAATATGTGTCTTTCCTATGAGGAAAATGAGTGAGTTGCTCTGCCCGCATTCCTTTGGGTAATAAAACCAATGATATCAGCATTGGTTGCCATGGAACCAGAGGCCTGTTCTGCCTTTCTGAGGTATTAGATGCATTTCGGGGGAAGGGTCCATCGACCCTCGTAGTTGGTTTGTTGACTGAGGGGTGTTACAGAGTATTTGTTAAATATAACTAAAACAAATTGTGTGTCTGGTTGGTCCAGATGCTACACATGTAACAGATGGCCTGTATACATCTGCCAAACCATCATTCGAAGGCCAAATCCTTAGTGGTGTTCTTACATTTTCAAGAATAATCAAGTGCAAATGGCTTCTCAAGAATGTTTGAACTATAGTACCAACTATGATATCCTAATATGAAAATGATTAAAAGTAGTGTCACAAGTGGCTGAAATATGTCTACTATGTCTCAGTAAAACTGGTGGG